ACTCCAAAATATATGATAGTGGTCTGCCAGCTGTTCTCCACGCTTCTGCCAACACAAACCAGTCGTTTCACCTGTGTGTGCATACTTTAACATGGGGGTTATAAAATATCTTTATAGGTTCTGCCAGCAGAATCCTCTCCAAGCACCTGAGCTGGTGGAGGTCAACAGCATCAGACACAGTCTGCCAATCATCCTCTGAAATGGAAAACTCAGACTCTTTCTCATACTTGCATTTCGATTTATTACTTGCATGTTTTTTCCACTGACTTGATATTTGAATATAATCTTGAAACAAGTCTCTTATTTTTGTTAATAAATTATTAAATTGGTGTCCTTTGTATTTCTGAATTTTATCTTGTCATTAGAGGAAATGTTAATGTGGAAGTGTGAATATTATCCCATCTATAGGTTTCCTAGATTTTCGGTAAGCTATGTAATCATCCACGTGATGAGACTGAACCGTAGGAAGTTGTACCATTTCTACTATTTAAACCTCTAATCGATTATTCCTGGTGTGAAATAATTTCATTTTAGTATTAAACCTGAGTGGATAGGCCATACCCTGCCTATCTCTGAATTCCTCATTAACCCTCTGCAGCTTGCCTTCACTTCTGTCGGTGTGTTATTTTAGCCAAACCTAGTGGAGAGCCACTTCTGGAAAGCTTCTGAAACACGCTGAAGTGGAATCTCAAGCATCCACCATCAGCTCCAGGAGACTCTTCCAAGCTGCAATTCCACAATGCAGCCACGCTCGCCAGGATTCAGATAACAATCATTCGTTGTATATACTCAATCATTTGTCTGTTTTGAACAAGCAGCCATTTATAAACAGCATGCATGCAAGCATACTGGGGGGTCCAGTACTGGCTCAAAATTGCATTAATTAAAAGCTAGAATCACAAAACACTTGCATTCCCGTTCTTTTACTGGAAATATTTCCAATTCAAAACTAGGTCTTGTTTTCCAGCCTTAGTCTTATTGTGTAACCCCCTCCACTCTCAACACCACTTACAACAACACACACATACACACAGCCTCTGTTTCCTTTTCACCAAGCCCACAGCGTAAACGCTGTAAATAAGCAGGCTCCTATCGACACCGGAGGCAGGCTGCTATAATAAAACTATTCCAGTTTTTATTGAGGTGTAAGCTCTGTTGGCGTGAGTAAACAGATTCTCCCTGGCATCAGCACTTCTCCCTGGTGCACAAACCCTGCGTCTAAGCAACTGTGGGCTTAGTAACAGTTGCCATGGAGACACATTCTTGTCAGCTTGGCCTGCATCGAGGGTCAAAGGAGCGAGAGCGGCGGCGAGATATTGTGATATGTGACAGAAATGATGATATCAAGGTTGATACAGTGCTGTGTAATAAACATTAGATAGAAACAACACAAAGAGGGAATATCAGAAATAATGAAAGAAGAGCAGTAGGTCCACTGTGGCCTCCATGAAATATTCTATGACTTGTCTTTGACTTTCCTCAACTTCATCAGAGCTTTCATTTATTCCCTCCAGGTTCATTAATGCTGTTCTTCAACTCAGCAGAAAATGTTCTAAAATTACAAGCAAGTTTCAACACTTTCTGTCTGGGAAAACTAGAAGGAAGCCAACTAACATGTGAAATACATTCTGGTGTTTTGGGTCTGCGTTGGACTTGGATGTTATATCGTTCTGGATGTCGACCAGCAAGCCGCAGCATCTACTGCGGGAGGAATTCTGGACTACAGTCTAGACAGGCTTGGCTGGCCCAGGAAGAAATGGCACAGCCAGGCACGAGGCGCGATTACCCACACACACATTCACTGTTTTTCACACTTTACTACAGTCTGTCACTCTGAGCCGAAGCCAAAATGAGTGGCCAAGGTAAAAGAGGAGAAAAAAAGAGAGGGGAAACTACTTGGAAGTTAATAACAGGAACACAATGCGGCACTCATGCCGTCCTCCTCAGCTGACGACAGGATTTAAGAAAGATGAAGAGAAGTTTTGAAGGATTCTTTTTTTCCCTGATGCTCAAAATACCTTTAATTTACCTGTTAGAGACAGAGCGGCACATTAGGTACTTTGCCTATTTGTTGCATGTGGTAAACTGCACAAATGTCAGGCTAACAAATCAATACAGATCCAGATTTTTTTTTCAAATTATGCCTGTTGGGCCTGAAAAGGCAAGAAAAAAAAAATCACACCAGCAATAAGTTTGAAATGACACATCAAGCCGAAGCTTCTTAGCAGTCTAAGGATACACCTGCAAGTGATTAACAACAAGAAATTAGGACTCACTGTATAAAACCACGAGCCAACACCTTTAAAGCTCATGTGGAGATAAATTAAATTGTAAAAGAATCTATTTTGAGTTGCCTTGCTTTATGACATAGTGTGAAGGGTAAAATATACATTCAACTTTAAGTTTTCATAACCTTCAGCATGATTAGCGCAGCAGGCCTGGTAAACGATAAACTACAGTAGACTGAAAGATTGCACTAACTGCTACTGCATTGGTAGGAGTGGTAGAAGAAGCACAGCACAGCAATGACAGCAGGCCAAGCATGTCTGATAGTGAGAGCACCATGTCAGCCTCCAATGACAATTTAGTAACTACAGGGGGAGCCACTACAAAAGCACTAGAAGAGTAGATGGAGATAATTATTGTGGCGGAAAAGGTTTTAAGCAAGTGGTTAAAAGCTTGAAGCCTGATAGAAAGAGATTAGAAGATATTTTTCAGCTTTATTCTGTATCATTACTGTACATTAAGAGTTACAAGGTTAACTAAAGTGTTTAGCGGTTCTGTTATACTTTTACTTAACGTTTCCAGGGAAAACACTCCCTAGGCTAGTTTTGTCCTTATATTTGACGTAGAATAGCAAATGTTTCTTTTTTATTCTCTGGGATTAATTCATGAATGATTTCATCAATAAAACGTATCTAATCAGCACTAATAATTACCACTAAGGCACACAACATACACACCTATTTAATTATTTAGCATTTATCTCATAGAGCAGTACTGGGAAAATTACCGCTCTACCTTTGTGCCATCATGTAACAAAATCAGCAGAAATATATGTCAGTGAGAGAAACCTGTGTTTTTTAGCTATTTTGAAATAAGTGACAATGCTTCTGTGGGCGCTCAGGAGTCAGCAGCACCCACAGAGATACTGCGAGGGAAAGAGGAAGAACAGTAATGTGGTCAATTAAAATTCAAGAATCCTTAACTGCAGTACTTGGTATTGTTACTTTGTTTTGTTGTTTTTTACTAATTGACCTCTACCTCAGTACTTGTATGTACCTCAGTATCGTAAAGTGATATATTGTAGTTAACCAAGGCCACTGCAAAATTACTTCGCTGCTAACAATAACAGAGCTGTATGAGCCTGTTATTCAAAGCCCCTCGAATTTGCCATTTGTCAACTCTGTTAGGTCAAAATGAAGTGACCCATTGTTTTAAGGCATCCAGTGAGCTTGCAACTTTTGCAACGAAGACCATCAAGGCCTTAAGAGTATCTGCATGTGGGAAGTTCAGAACTGAAACTTAACTTTATAAATGAATGGGCACATAAAGAGGTATGAAGAAAGCTGCGTGAAACAAAATACTTGATCTAAGAACTGTTTCCAGAGACGGCAATAACTCCAGGTTATGGATAAAAGCTTAACATTCATTCAGAAGTAATATTTTTATTGTAACTTAATGCTAACTTCTGAATGGTGTATTTTTTCAACCATTATAAAGGAGCACTCCACAAGAAACATTCAACTGTCAGCAGCAACACTTTGCACTGTGGGCTAAATTTACCTTTACTCAGCCTTCATCACTTTAAGATTAACTTCATTTGTTTGATTATTTAAACGTAACCTGTTAAGTTTAGTCTTAGCTTCAAACTCATTAGCTGGGGTGGTCAGTCACCTGGCTAATATTAAAATAATAAGGGACAAGCAGAGAAAACGAGGACAACAGAGCACTATTTCCCAAAATACAAGAAGTGTGAACGCACTGTGTGAACAAATGTAACGTTAGAAGTTTGCACTGTGTCAAAAATAGCCTAATGTTTTCCTAAAGCCACAGACCAAAGTCACCAAGCAGCTCTACTGCAGACACCAACACACTTTCCATGTATAAGACACAGGCAGGCATGCACAGGAGCCACAGCAACTGCTCTATCGTAAATTCTTCTAGGAGGTTATGTGACCCCGTCACAGGTCATCAAGCAGTTTTATATGCATCACACCTGTCCACCTCTCCAACTGGTATCTTTGCAAACTGGTATCCTTGCAGACTGGTATCTTGTCTTTCAAGACACTCTGGGAGTATAAGCTGCACTTTTTCTTTGTTTGCAGATTTGTTTTTTTCCCTTACAAACTAGGTGAGCAGTCAAAGTAAAGGATTGGCTAATTACTTCTACAGGTAATCAATACGACTGTAAAATATCATCAAGTGATTTCACTTTCCCTAAGCCCCACAGTAAAATCTTCACATTGCTTGTCCTGTCCAATCATGAGTCTTACAGCCAATACAGATTACTTCCACATGTGGTGAAAGAAGGCATCGCGTCCATGTATTTGGAAAACTTCAAAAAGCAGATATGGCAGGTCCTACATGGCAAATAGCTGGTGACTCACAGTTTATCAAAAATATTTGTCAATTATTTTTCAGCTGAAAAACCAAAGGATTGAACTGACACATTGTTCCAGGTCAGAAACAGTGAAAGAGACACTTCTGATATGTTTGGAACAATTTTGGATCATTTTTTTATCCTGTGCACACATTTAGCCTCCATTTGCTTCTTGTTGAATGTTGAGACATTTATAAATATTAACGCTTGAGTCAAATGACTAATAACATTTATTTTGATGGAAATGCAGTCGTTTGATTAATCCGATTTCTGAACTTTTCTTCTCCGAAATCTATTAGTCACCACAGAAGCTATGTTTAACAGGTGGATGAAACTGTTATTGAACTATCTTCATAATTTAGTTGGAGCCAGTAATCCAGTCCAGGGCGGATCCTACCTGAGACAGCCGGAGGTGTTCTTGAACACGGTGGTCCACTCTGCATCACGCGGCTTTGAGTCCTCATTGGGCTCATGCTCCCAACCCGAGTGGGGGATTATCACCTCGTTGGTCAGGGTTTGCAGGCCGTGGTTGATGATCACCATCTTCAGGGTTCATAGGATGACAGATTCCACAAGGTTCCTGCAGGGGAGCACAGATGGGAGGAAAATGCAGAGACGAATTAAGAGGATAGCAATAAGTTGGTTAAAAAAGAGGATTATGAGAGGAGAAAGAGAGGATATACGAAGGAGGCGTATATACATGCACATATATCTGCAAAGAGAGAGAACATTTTAAAAAGAGATGGTGTGAGGGTGGTGTAGCTGACAATTTAAACACAAGAGAATGAAAGAAGGTGAAGCTTGACAGGAATGATGTAGCAAAACAGGCAAAAAAAAAAAAGAACAGAACAGAGAAACTGTGCACACAAACTGAAAGTGATGCGATTTAATAACAGCCGTATAACAGAAAAACAAAGGAGCCTACTGTCCAGGCTTTAAGACTGCAATCAGAAACACATTTAGTTTGGCAAAAAATATGTTTTAGAAAAATAATAGAAGACTGGGTGTTCATTATCCAGGCATGAAACCAACGGACCATATTGCACTGTATAAACCCCCCCACTGTAATACTTTTATTATTCTTCCATGAGAACATAGCTGACTGCTACTTTGCTGTAATAAATACAAAGTTTACAGCAGCCGTATCGCTGTGATATTTCTATAATATCCTCATATGTCAACAGCAATATTAGGTTCACAGCGTTCTTACAGTACATCATGTTATTTCTCAGCTGTTGCACGTAATGTGCCGCTCGGATCTCATGTCCTGCAGATATTGTGTGTGTATTGGATCAGGATAAATGATCTGCTTCGGCTTTTCTATCCAACAGCACACACATGCACACCTCGTTTCAATCATCCCTGTCCTCCATTATCTTTCCCAAGAAATCCAAGCAGGAGAAAGAGCATTTTCTAGGTGGCTGCAAATCTCACTAACAGCCAGCCAATTTTATACTTCAGCAAAAGAAAAAAAAAGTAAATTAAATTGAGCTGGGTATGTGCATCCCAGGGCTTCACAAAACAGAGGCAGGCACACAAAGAAAAGAGGAGGGGAATTTTTGGGAGCACAGCCAGACAGCCAAACCCACAGAAAAATAAAATGCCGTGTTAAAGCATCAAGCATCAGATGGGTTTTTCACTCAGACACATGGAAGCTGTGAAGCGAGGCAGCCAGTTTGAGGAGAGGAAAACACTTTAAAAGCAAAAAAACAAAACAAAACCCCCCCAAAACCTCGCTCAAGCCCATGTTGGACACGTTCCTGAGTTGTTGTTTTCATCAATCCAGCCCTCAGGTCTCTGTTTCTGCTTCTCATCATTTATCACACCCTTTATTTTCCTCTTTCACAATTTGGTCCTAAAACCCTGTGCCTATGCAGCAGCAACTTAATCCATGCATGCTGGAAAAGCTCTTAGCAACTTGCATTTGCATTGTACTTGTGAACGTGCAAGTACAATGCTTATTCACTTCTGGGTTACGGTGGAAGGGAGGCATCAGCAAAAATCTATAGGAGCCTTTTTAGTATGTTTTCTAAAGGAATGTATGGAGGTTTATCATCATCATCAGCTGTAGCTTCACAGCTATAGACAACGCTGTTTACGGTGTCTAAGTCCCACCTTAGTTTGGCATTTTGTTTTTAAAGCCAAGTGACATCCAGAGCATCTAGCATGCCTCCATGAATGCAGAAACTGCAGCCGGATAAGTGCCGACTGTGTTGACGGATGAGCCAAATTTGCCAGCTGAACCACAGAAAGAAACGTTCTTTTTTTTCAGGCCATTAGCAGAGCAGTGAAGCAGTCATACTTCCTGGCACACTTATTTAAAATGGTTTCTGTACATTTTCCAGACGGTCAATATTTCCCCTGTTAAATCATGCTCTCCACTCTGTCTCAGCGGACAGATCTGAACTAAAAATACTTCCAGTCCCTCTGATGTGGTTCTGCCTTGTTTGACCGTTTCCTTTGAAATGTTAAAAAAAACATAATGTAACTAAAACACTTAAGCGGCGCTCTTACAAAACAGTAAATCTTAATTTAGTTCATGACCTTCTTCCGCTCTGCTTTGCCATCACGCACTACCAAGTTAAGGAATCCCTGTGCGTGTGCACGGGTGTGTCTGCAGCTGGATTGCTGGTGAGGAAGCGCGGTGTCGAGTTTAAAGTCAGTTGAATTTTTGGCGTCTCGCAGTTTCTAAATAAACCTCCACTGAATGTAGCATACATTTTTGCTGATGCTAACATGTCTGTGACATCGGCCACTGAAGTGGAAACACCGGAGCTCCACTCGCTGTTTTTTCAGTTGGTGACTAGACTAGACTTCCTGTGCGTCAGAGACCACCAGGGTGGGATGCTATTAGATGTGGAAGCTGGGGTGTGGCTCCACACAAGGGATATTGTGATTATTTCTTTCCTGGGAGGGAGGGTGCGTATCGTACGATCAGCCGTGACTCTACCTAAAACACTCCACCTGACTCACAGCTTGTTGGGAGCAGGTCACGTCCTGAGAGTAAACACAACCTTACAGGCTAAATTCAGGGAAAAATATCCCGTTGAGCATTAAATCACCAACGCTCAGGTAATTACATTGTAGAAAGAAAAGCATGTTTAATTTTGAGCTTCAGGTGTTTACTGTAAATTTCATACCTCTACAAATTCAATATTGATTTTTTTTTTTTTTTTTTAGACAGGCACTTTCATGGTACGTTTAACTTGGTGCAAAACAAGCTGAGATTTTATTTTAGCATATGGATGTTCTTCCATCAGCAAAACTGAAGCTGTGATCGGAAGAAAATAAGTAAATAGTGCAGTGCTCGCAGCCGCAGGTGTGTTAGCATCAGCAGAGACAGATGTCACAGTCGGTGGAAAATCATTTATCATTTTATCTGAATTTTGGCCTCGTTATGAAGTCACAGTATCCCGTGGCACTATGTGAGTGTGAAACAGATACTGGCGCAGACGACGCTCACAGAATTTAGCACTACCCAACAGGGTAGCATTTCCATCTCATCTGCTTTTTATTTTTCCCCACAGGGTCAATTGTGTCACTTTTCCCAAACAAACACATTCGAGCATCTGAGAGGAAATCTCCGCATCCAGGCATGAATCCAATTAAAAGACAAACGTGCACTTGTGGTGTCTGTACTTTGGTATGATGACAGCTAGCTAACATTCATGCCTGCCAGCCTGACAGCTTGATTACTGCCACTGTTGTGTCATTAGCATCAGCTTTACTCGTGACAAGCAAAATGCAACATGCAATCAACTCACAATGAGTGATGGGATCTTAAGAAAGGCAAAGAAAACTTCTCACTGTGCTGTCGGTGTCCTAACAGAAATAAGTGGTGCTAATTTATGACTTTTGCAACGTGCCACAGAGGAGGAAGAAACAGACGGCACTTTAATAATATTCAGACAAAGTCTTGTTCATTCATTTCTATGATTCCAGCATCCAAGCCCGATGTGTATTCCCTGCTATAAGATAAATGGTGCATAATGCCCCTTATTTCAATGGTGCATACTTGTTTCTAGATTGCAGTCCATTTTTCAACTTGGCTGGAAGTGCATACGGCATACATGCATCCCTGATCTGTCGTACCCAGGATGTTGAAAGACTGCTCTGTGCTTTAAAGTTACCAGATTCTTGTTCACCATACAAACTTTCTTTCGCTCCTTTGGTAGTTCACCGTCACCTTCAGTGCTCCAACTGAAACACTGCTCAGGCCGGTGGAATCAGTCAGCTCTGCACAGATCACATATGCCAGAGGGGAGGGAAAAGGCATGTCTTTGCCGTGGCTGTGATCCATCAAGTACGACAGGCATACAGCCCACTGACAGAATGTTATTTAAGATGACAGAGTGATGTGGAAGCGACCGTCTCCATCCAGCATCCCGCCAGTGTTTCAGGCCAACAACTGTATCAGCTTTAGTCCATTTGCTGTCCTATGTCAGCTTGTCAGAGGTGGGCATGTTAGGGATGTACCGCTGTCTTGCAAGCCGGAGGCAGACACCATGCAATTGTCATGCCAAAAAGATCGGGTTCCCTCATAAACACTCATGTGTGTGTGCTGGTTATTTGATGCCATTCACACCTAAATTTAACAGGCAACATGAACAATATACGCTGTAACCAGACTTCTCTTCACAGCTAGAAATGAAGAACGCTGCACTTAGTTTGGATAGAAACGTCAGCTGTCAAAAATGCACTGCTGAGCTAAGAGTTTCGGTTAATTATTGTATTGGCGCACGATACGGAGCCACTTTAGAGCTGCAGTCAATTTGCATTGATCTAAGCCAAACTGTCCAGGTGATCCAAACCCCGAAAAGTGCACAAGTTTGAGTTTTTTTGTCTAACTTGTGCCTGAACTTTCCACGAACACAAATATAAACTGATTTTCATCTGTCTCTGGAGGTTAAGCAAACTCTTATAAAAGTCTTATAATAGGACACAAACAAAGAAAAGTATGAGGCATTGAGGTCACTACAGTTTATATAAACAAATCTAAAAAGTAAAATATGGGTTAAAAAAAATAAACAATAATCAAAGCAAATGTTGTAGTTGTTGTTAATTTGATCAAATTTTCCATCTCTCACATGTGAAAGTATGTATGCTTATTAATAGGGTGATATTTACCAATCCACCATCCACTTCATTGGGTATAAATGGTCAGCTGCTCGTTAACACAAATATCTAATCAGCCAATCCGCTGCACCATTCCCTGATCAATAAATTATCATATTAAAGTAATAAAAACACAAAAAACTTCCAAAGGAAATTTTAAAAAAGTGAGAAGAGCAAATCTAGGCTGCAACATAACTGAAAACAAACAGAGTTGAATGAATGCAAGTACCTACTTTAATTAATACTCTGAATAAAGCTCAGTAATAAAAATATGAGAACACTGCAAGCTTTACTGACACGACAGATCACATTAGATTTAATACACACCTCCTATGACCAGGGTTAGTTGCCTGTTCTGTTTGTTTTTTAATCTTGTAGTGTCTTATTCCTCACATTAACAAAGCGCCTTAAGAAAATCAGTGTTGTGATTTATTGGTGCGTGTGTGCTTTTTAAAAATGCAAAGA